GAAGAGCGGGAGGGAAGTTTGACATGAACATCCAAACAAAATGAAGTTCCCATCTCTTTACAAGCCTGATGTGGGGTTCCCATAACTACATTCAGTGGAGGCATTGATAAATCCTAGTATACGATTTTCTTATACTTACTGATATGATTTCCTCAGCAACTTATTTTGTTGTATTCCAAGATAAATCCAGGGGGGTAGGCTGTATATGTATTTACTGAAGTAAAATGGACCATCCTGGGAGCAATGATTTAAACTGACCAGTGGACTATACATTTGTGGCCTAAGAAGTGTCTAACAGGCTAAATCAGGTGTGTCTGTCATGAGAACATAACCATACTAGGTCAGACCAATCTATCCCAGTATTTGGTCTCTGACAGTGGCAAAAAGAGGATGCTATAGAGGGGACAGCATTGAACTGGATATCCCCAGAGCAGGGGGGACAATTATTTCAGGTGGAGGGCCCCTTACTGAGTTTTGGCATGCTGTCGAGGGCAAGCTAGGGGCAGATAACTATTAATTTTCTAAATTTTTTAGGGGCCCTGTAGGCTGGATAGAATGGCCTGACAGGCCGCATCTGACCCGCGGGCCAGATTTTGCCCACCCCTGCTCTAGAGTGATCTATCCTCTATTTAGTATCCTCCATTATTGGTTTAAAATACCAAAGGAAACATCTCCAACCATTCTGTTCAATAGCCCTTTCTAGAGCTGCCTGTCCATCCATCTATGTAATGCAATCTTTTACATACTGTGCTTAGATAATAAATGTATAAAGTAAAATAATGCAAATATGTTACTACAGCTGCCGCTTCCCAAGGGTGAACAAGAATAAATAGATTTGTATCTGAATAAAGCACATACCTATCTGTGCATTCAGCAGCAGGACCAAGCCTAGGAAGGAAAAAAGAATAAGATTGTTATTCCTAGAAACATGCCACCTTTGAGTGGGTTCAGCGCAGCTGGTACAGCATCCTCTGTCCTCTGTTGCCAAGAATGTTTGACTACTGTAATGGGGAGGAAGTCATCTTGTCTTTGACTTAATGACTTCTTGTGAATGCTCAGATCACTCTGCAGTAATCTACAATTCAGCAGTTCAGAGATTGCTGCCTTAATTAACACACAATCTTTTTGGCAGGTATCCCAGCTATCAAGAATATAATGATTAATATTGTGTTAATTTATTCATATTTAAAGTAATAAAATACATCTATGTAAACACCCTAACTCACTGCTAATATATGCCCCCTCCCTCTAATATCTAGAAAATGGATATTGTATATCTGAATATTTGTAACTTTTTGCCCAAAGCTCAACCTAAACTATCTCCCCAATAAGCTGGGGGTGGAGCTGGCAAGGAAAGTGCTCTGAGAATCGGTGGATCTTGCTCTTAGACTCGAGGCCAAGGCTTGAACGCAAATTTGGGCCATGGCTATGTTACAAATGGCCATTGTCACAGCCTGGCCAGCAGTATAAGGAAGTAGGACCCTTGTCCAGCAGAGCTGATTCAGGCAAACCAGCAAGACTGGGTTGTGCACAAGTAATGTCTGTGGCAGTGCAAAGCGCAGTTTTGCTGGTTCCAGCTGCATCCACATTAAGCGTGCGTTGCAAACCCAATCTGCCAGTATTACTATACCAAGAAAGCAGTCTAGACATAGCCTTATTGTCTGTGCAAAAGACATTGCAACAGTCAGATTCAGTCTTGCACTTAAAGCTTGGGAACCCTGAACAATTCAGAAAGCAAGCCAGCATTTTCAGAGGCCTGCTGTGAGCGGCACAACTTCATATATCATCTCTCCTGTATTCTCCCTCCCTCCCTCCCTCCCTCACTGTGCATGTGTGTGTTTGGGTGCTTGTCTCCAAGAGTTTCATGCTTTCTCTCTCTCTCTCCTTTGCTGTTTCGGAAAGGAGTAAAATACATTAATTATATTCAACATTAACTGCGAAAGCATTTAAGACTCGATCTTAAGGCAAACATTTTGTGTGTAAAAAAAATAAAAATAAAACACAGCTTTCCTTAATGTTTCAAAGTGTTCTGCTGTATTTAACCCACATGTAACCATGTTCCTGAAATTACTTACTATTATTTACAAGGACATTACAATCCTTTTTGTCTTAAATTTTGAAAGAGATTGCAAAAGGAATAGGTGAATTTTTCTGTGTCTGAAAATAATGTATTCATCAAAAAAAGAAATTCTGGGACAGCAGAACTATTTTGAAACTGATACAGAAATTTGGACAAAAAAAAAAAGATATTTATTTGAAGTTTGCAGTCCAATATGAAGTTTCAGTTCTGAATTGAGCTACATGTAACAATAACAGTAACAAAAATGCCTAAATGAAAATGACATTTTTTGTCAAACAGAACATTTCACTCGGCCCAAATTGATGTTTGCTGTGTTCTTCATTTTGTCATAAGGAACTGCATTTTCATTTGAGGTCAACCTAAAAAAATATATGTTTAATGATTTTTTTTTGGGTTGCCCACCAGACTGAAAGATCAGCTGTTTAAAGACCACTAGTCACAAATCAATATAGTAAAGTTTCAGAGCGGGACTTACCTGTGAGAAGGATCAACTTTGCCATCTTTGCCTGTGTACTGATCCAATGCTGCCTCTCGCTGCTTTTTATACTGCAAGTTTCTCTCCACTGTGTGCAATTCCTCTATCATGAAAGATAAAGGAAGATTGTGGTATTTGATGAAGGTAAGCATGTGATGAAGATAAGAACATATTGAAAAATAGATGCTGATACAGTGGACCCAGTTAAGAATTTGAATCTAGAAAAATAGCTTTATCAATCTTTCTGTTTTGAAGGCACTGTTGGATATGGATGGAAGATTATAGTAACACTGTTCTTGGCATGTTGGTTACAGTGGTAAATATTATAGTATATTACAGATTAAAAGTTACATGTGTGTATCTACTGTTCTTGCATTGTGATTTGCTGCATTACAAGGGTGGCAGAGAGCGTATTATATAATATGCTTACGTAAGGTTTCTTGTCACCGTTGTAAAGGCCGTTACCTCTAGATCAAGGTGGAAGCAACTCTAAGAAGTCTACTGACAGAAATGTGCTTAACTGGGACGATCAGGATTAACCTTGCTTAGCGAAGGCAGTGATCGAGAATAAAATGCCTAAACGTCTTTGAGGATCCAGGTTCTACAGCCCGATGCTCTTCTTGCTCAGGTTACAGGAATCCAAAATAACTTCACTGAAGGCAGGGGAGCTCCTTTGCAAACCTTAACAGAGGAACAGGCATTGAAAAATAACACTATGAATGTCCTTTTGGACCAGTGGTATGGTTCAGTGATGTTCTTCAAGCTGTCCATTAACAGCGTGAGGATACAGTGCAGTATTTAAGCGCTAAAAGAGAGCCCATGAAGACAGCACAACATTCAGGCTTTATTCCTTCCTCCACATGTTTCCCCACATCAAGCAGTTCCTGGATGTAGATTTTCTCAGACCCTAGACATGACCCAGTTCAGAGACATACTATATATCTTCCTCACTGGAGGCTTTTCATCATCCTAATTCAGATACAAAGACCTATTCAGTCCTTAGCTGCTGTCCTCCAAGTAGCCAGTGAAGTTTCATTTAACTCCAGTCATTATAGTACTTGTGTGATAGGGAATAAGAAATGGGTTATAACGTACTAAATCATTTCACGCAGGCCACTGGAAGGCTGTCAGAGGGGTCACAGGAGTCATTCAATGCAAGAAAACACTAGAAAATCAGGGCCAGAGCAGGGAAAAGACAGTAGTCAGGCAGCTGGCTTTGGGAGCAGTGCAAATAGGGGTTGTAGCTTCCTGCATGAAGCTTGGAGGGTGAAGCAGGTGTTTCAGGAAAGATGAGACCAAGGCAACCAGTGGCTATGATGCCAGCTGCAATGGTAGCCTCTCTGTAAAGTGTTTCCTTTGTAAGGAGCTGGTTTGGTTTGTAAAATATGGGGACCTAAATCTCTCACGTTATGTATGACCCACTGTGCAGTGTATAAGACACATATGGGTCCCTTGACTTCTGTGGAGTCTTGTCTATTCACACTGGCAAAGAGCTCGGACTTTCAGACCCCAACTCAAAGCATTGTCCCAACATGTCCTATTCAAAGAAGTGACAGTGTTTGTCCTTATTTTTGCCATGCTCATACATTACAAGTAGAGTTGAGCAGAATTGTTCAGGACAAATTGATTTTTGCCAAGAAAATGTGTACTTTGATTGACCACAACTCTTTGTGAATATATGTTGAGTACATCACATTAATGTGACCAACAAAGAAAACCGGCAGAGAGACCCTCCATCACTGTACTCAGAAGTATTTTGTAGCAACTGGTAAAAAGAAAGGAAAGAGAATTACCACCAGGTCACCTAGACTTAATTTTTATGGGGTCCTTGGGAAAAATAATTAGGTCGTTTCAAGAAGAGATTTCTGTGACCTATATGACCCTTTTTAATTTATTTTATGTAACAGATAAGATATTCACACCTTTAAGGGGAGAAGATATCGCTGGAAATGCTTTTCCAACATGCTCTTCAGGTGATACTGTAACAAAAGCTTTCCAAAGACTTCGGAAAACTCCAACCTTAATGACCTTAATATCTTTACTATATAAGGTCTATTGCTTTCTATAGGTAGCTTTTGACCAGCTTGCCCTTGTTGTTGAGATTAGTCAGCACATTGTAGAAAGCTAATTGACATGAAATTTAAAGGTCAATCAAAGCAGTAAAGGCATAGTTCTCTGAAGTCTACGTAGGGACATGGCACCTTGTTTTCCTGGCTCTGGAAGGTCAGAATTTAAAGCCAAGATATACATTTGAAGGTGATGTTGGTGCATTTTAGGTTTGTAGCAGAGAATTATTGAAGAGAGAACAGGAGTCTGCAACCCACAGGCCAGGAACAGCCCATGATGCCTTTGGATCTGGCTTGTGGAGCCAGTGGCATTTGGGAGAGAGCCTGTGCTGTGCCATAATTTGGTGCCTGTGGCTTCTGTCCATGGCAAGGCCTCCAGTGGAAGGCGGCTTTCTCCCCCTTGAGCTGCAGCTGGGCTGCAGGGAGAAGTGGTGACACCAGCCTGGTCTTACTGCCCACCCATCTCCAACCCCAACTGAGTCATTCCAGCCCTCCGCAGGAAAACATTGCTAACCCCTGTCCTGGCAGATTTAGTGTTAGAGTCCCAATGTATGCTTGGGCCCCTGTACATCTTTTGGTACAGTGGAGAGGTGGTATAAAATGAGCATAATTTTAATAATTTGGATAGAAAGCTGTGGCTGGATTGTCAGGATGGATGGGTAGTGATCAATGGCTCAATGTCTGATTGGCAGCTGGTATCAAGTGGAGTGCCCCACGCGGTCACTCCTGGGGACAGTTTTATCCAATATTCTCATTAACGATCTGGAAGGTGGGATGGATTGCACTCTCAGCAAGTCTGTGGATGACACCAAGCTGGGGGAGTAGTAGATATGTGGGAGGGCAGGGCTAGGATTCAGAGTGACCTAGACAAATTGGAGGATTGGGCCAAAAGAAATCTCACAAGGTTCAACAAGGACAAGTGCAAAGTCCCCCATCTGCCTTACCCGAATATATTAGTGACCATGAGATGCTCAGATCAGACAGTCATGGGATGTTTCATATGGACCTGCATTTACTGAGTTCTGCATTACAACATTAAGGATCACCCTTTGATCTCTCCAGCCATACCTTCCATAATATATAACATCTGTTCTGTAGAGAGAGTGAACTTCATCCAACTGATCTCTTTCCTAGCAGGCTGAGATTCAATAATGACAAGTTCAAAGTCCTGCATTTAAGACAGAACAACCCCATGCACCAGGACAGGTTGGGGGCTGGTTGGCTGGGCAGCAGCTCTGCAGAAAAGGACTTGGGGGTGACAGTGGACAATAAGCTGAACATATGCCAACAGTGTGCCCTTGTTGCCAAGAAGACTAATGGCATACTGGGCTGCATTAGTAGGAGCATTGCCAACAGATTAGGGGAAGTAATTATTCCCTTCTATTCAGCACTGGTGAGGCCACAACTGGAGTACTGTGTCCAGTTTTGCGTGCCCCCCACTACAGACGGGATATGGATAAGTTAGAGAGAGTCCAGCAGAGGGCAACAAAAATGGTTCGGGGGCTGAGGCACATGGCTTATGAGGAGAAACTGAGGGTTATTTAGTCTGTAGAAGAGAAGAATGAAGCGGGATTTAATAGCAGCCTTCAACTACCTGCAGGGTGGATCCAAAAAGGACGGAGCTGGACTGTTCCCAGTGGTGGCAGATGACAGAATAAGGAGCAATGGTCACCAGTTGCAGCAAGACAGTTTAGATTGGATATTAGGGGGGAAAAAAGTCACTAGGAGGGTGGTGAAGCACTGCAGTGGGTTTCCTAGAGACGTGGTGGACTCTCCATCTTGGAAGTTGTTAAGGCCTGGCTCAACAAAGCCCTGGCTGGGATGATCTAGTTGGGGCTGGTCCTGCTTTGAGCAGGGGGTTGGACTAGATGTCACCTCCTGAGGTCCCATCCAACCCGATTCTATGACTAAATTACATTTGTGTCATCTAATCTGCTAAACTAGGGTGAACACACAGTTGTGTGACTACACCTCAGTCCTGTAAGGCCTTCCCTGGTCAAGGTGATGGGTTCTTCTGAGCACTGACTGCCAGGCTTCATGGTTTGGGGAATCTGTGGAGGAATCTGTCTCAGGGAATGTGGTTCTTAAAGCAACTTGAGCACTCATCTGTTCCCTTTAAAAATTATCCACAACTGGGTTTGGGAAAGCACTGCACTATGATCACAGCTACAGCAGTAATCCCAAGAGGAGTGAATGCAAAGCATTGGCTCTTACTATCATGTCATGGTGCAAGCTAGCTGTGTGTTCAGCCTCCTGTACATGGCACAGGGTTCCCAAAAGCCATAAGCCTTTATGTCTTGTGAGGCGTATGGCCTGAGCTTGCAAGGCCTGAGCTGGTTTTGGTACATACCTGGGCTAAGCGGTATCTCCCTTTCTTCTGCCCACTTTGCAGTGCCAGTGTAGCACAGCTGGGAGCAACAGGGCTAGAGAGCAGACACCACTCCTGCAATTCCCTGTAGCTCTCTCTTCCTGCCTTTCCACAGTCGTGCCTTTATTTGGGCCATGTGTTTTTAAAAGGAGCTGCCAAGCAGAGTAAAATAACAGCCACAAGCCAGCCACTTGGTATTTCATAGCCTTCAGTGCTTTGCAGTGATCATTAGTATCACAAATCACTGTTGCTAATCTACCACATCCATCTCAGGAATCCTTACAACATTTTAGCAAATGAGGTGGGGGCTAAGTTGCACAGTTGATATCCCAGAGGTCACAAGTTCAAGGCCATAGCAGAAGCGCTCAAGGGTGGCCCTGTCAGATGCCATCAAATTGGCAAAATCTACTAAATACCTTGTCACAAGGACATGAAAAAGGAGAGCAAATAAGGTTTTTATGACTATTTAAACCTTTCCTGAAAAAGCACTGTCTGTGGGTTCCAGTTCTATGAGACCAAGCTAAAAGTAGGTTTCTGTATTGCTCGTGAACTGTGTTCTGTCTGTAACTCATACTGGCACGCTAAAGCTGGGTGATATGCTGGATTTTTCGTCCTCAGGGTGCCAGTAGCCCTAGGAGCCCCTTAGGCAGACTAGTGACTGAAGTGTCCCGTGAAGAGGTGTGTGCCTCACCCTTACTGCCGAGGATCTCGCTTTGAACCCAACGAACATGTTATTCTTTTTTATACACAATCAATTTATATACAGAAAAAATACTAAATAAAAAATATATTAACAATAGTTAATAAAACTATCAGTTTAGATAAAATTTACAACTACCATATTAGCTGGATAATTCCAGCACACTGGGTGGTCCCACTTGTGTTAAACAACCTCAATAATTAAATTCAACTTGATATAAGCCTTTAAAACAGTTTCCACCCCATAACCCAATTGGTTTCCTTCTGGTCACAATCTACCTCCCATAACAATAAATGGCAACACAGCTTTAACTATGATCCACCACTAGATGGTGGAGGCGAGGCTTCTGCTGCTCTGGGGAAAGTGGACTCCTTCCTGGTAACACAGAGAAACAGGCTCTGAACAGCTGCTGCAGGCAATAGGCTCCCTGTTGTTTCCTTTATTGGCAGATTGTTCTCTTAAGCAGTTTCCTTCTGAAAATACACTTACTGCAAACACTAGTGATTAGATGTCCCTTCACATGCCAGTGCTGGTTTGTTTTCTCTCGGCCCACTCCCTTGCAGGGCTGTCTCCCCACCCCAGCACATCCACTCGCAAACAGGGTCTGCAGGTCTCTGGCTCTGCCACTTGAGCCTTCTCAGCTTGGATTAATGCGGAACTGTTTTCAGTGATGGAAACATTGGTGTATTCCTTAATCGATCTTTTCAGTGGAAGATTTTCTGGGGTAATTGGTAAGGTGATTTACATGTGTTTCTGTGAGGAGTTGCTCTAGTCTTCCTAATCCTTTAAGTTTCCTAGACACATAAACTGAAAACAACCCCCTTGCTGCATTTCTTCCTCTATCTTTTGTAGGAAGCTCATGGTCCTTTGTTAGCAAGGGAAGGATGGGGTAAATTTGGAGCTACAAATCATCTCTGGCTTTCTTCAGGAGTTGATTTTTTCCCTGATTTTTATTCTCTCTTGAGAGGGGATGCTTGCAAATGTATTGTGCAGCAGAAACTGTAGTTGGTGAGTCCAATTACTTGGTAAAGCAAACTTTGCAGGTCTGTCTATATAATTAAATTCCAGACCAGCCAGCTCTGAGGTCCACCAGGTTCTGCAGAATCGGGGAGTAGTGCCCAGTACAGGTGTCTCACTTCAGGGAGGCAAACTATAAGCATGTGTAGCTTCACCCACTATGAAATGCACAGAAGTGCAGCCAGAACAGCCTCATATGATAATAGATTAAAATGGCTTCCATCTGGAAAGCCATTTAGGAAAAATGTTTTGGAAAATGTGTTGTCCTGTGATGCACTACACACCTCAAAAGGCTCCACAATGTGTGGTACCAGAAAACTTGTTGTGTGCCCCTGCCAGGACCAAGATCTGAAGTGTACTAGGAGTAAAGATGTGGGTGCCTAGTGGGTAGCATATGTAAGGCAAGACAATTTGGACAACTCGTGGTAAGCTTACTTGTCTCAAGCTCACAAGTTGTGAGCCAGGGTGTGGGGATACAATGCAATATAAATTTAAACTTCCCCTTAGAGGTCTCAGTTGGGACTCAGGAATTTAATGTACAGCTGGACAGGGACAAAAAGGCAGCATGTGCTTGATTTGAACTCTCGTTTTCCTCCCAAAAGAAATAGTGACATGCAGAGAACAAGGGATGTGCAATATAGTTACTAATGCATGCACAGTAATTACTGGTCATAGATGGACACAAGCTGTGAAGAACAGATGACTAACCAGATCAGCATCCAGATTCTTCCAGTTATTTCTTGGTGTGCAATGGCAAAGGGGTTAAGATATCTCACTATGGATCCAAAGACATAAATTGGACTCTTATTCTGGTCTTGTCCTGACAGCCTCCCTGCATCCAGCCCAGCTGTAAAGGGACAGCTGGTCATTCAGCCTGGGGAAGCAAAGGCAACCAGATGAAATGGTAGCCACATGACTCCTTTGGATGCTGTTGGTTATAGTGTGACTTAATTATGCTAACTTGATGGCTGATAGTCATCTAGGCTTGGAGCTTGGATGACCCATTTTATTGGTGGGGAGTCTTTGGAATTGGTGTCCAGAATAGGCAGGGAGAGCACAATAATGATTCTGAATCTCACTGAAGTCAGAAGTCCCAGCTCTTGGGTCAGTGCTCTATCCCTTAGCCCATATTGCCACTCATAAAGCACCCATCACATTCCCTTCTCAGGAAGGGACACGCTTTCCCACTTTCATTTCAGCTCCTGTAACTACTCTTCCTTTGCAAAGATTATTGGCAAAGCTGTTAGGAGAATGACTGCCCAATCTGAGAGTTGGGTTTGAACCCTTGGGCAACTCAGTCACCCCAGTGCACCCCATCTGGGAATATTCAGTAAGAGAGAGAGAGGCCATTTTCATGCAATGCACATTTATTTATCATGCTCTTGACTACATTGTCGGTATCTATTGGGTGAAAGTGGGTCCAGTGGCTGTTGTGTTCATGCCCAGTTGCAGCAGGAGCAGCTGGTGTCGAAGACCAGGCCACTCGCACAGTGCTCCTGGAAGGTCCTGCCATTCACGCAGTTGTAGAAGCTGTTCTTATCGGTGGGATCTGGGTAGAGGCCACTGGCCTTGCCAGCACAGAAGTTGCTGTTGCCACTGCTTGGGCTGCCACCAGAGCTTGGTTTGCCACCAGAGCTTGGTTTTTCACTAGAGCTTGGTTTTTCACTAGAGCTTGGTTTGCCACCTGAGCTTTCAGTGCTTTTGGTAGCAGGGGCAGCTGTGGTTGGCTTGGCTGGCTGGTTAGCAGCAGTGCCAAGAGTGGTGGCTGGAACCTTGCAGTCTGGAAGAAGCAAATGCAAAGATCAGGGATTAAAATGTGCTGGTTTCTAAGCCTGAGGCAATGCTGAAAGGAGAGGGGTGGTGGACGGCAGGGCAGGAGCTGAACAGACTTGCCTGGAGAAGTGATCTGTGCCCAAGGGAAAGATGTGCAAAGGTGCACGTGGTAAGTGTGTGGGCCGGGAGGGAGAGTGGCATCCTGGGCAGAACCAAGGAGCACCAAATAAGATACGAGGGCAGTATGTGGGCAGAAAGCAGTGCTGCAATGAGCCATAAGCTAGAACATGATGTAGCAGAGAATGGAAAGATAGGTGAGGGGCTTAGGGAAGAGACTGATATCATTCGAATGATAAGCTAGGAAAAGGCCCACGGGCTGCAGCCTTTTGAGTTGGCCGGAGGGGCCTGGTGGGTGTGAGACTGGCCGAGGAGGAGGAGGCTGCGGCAGCTGAAGCAGAAGAGGTGGGTCAGGACACGAGCTGAGGGCTGCCGGGCAGCTCGCTCCAGGCCTGGGGGCTGTGTGTGTCTACTTACTGGGGGTGGTGACGCCAAGGGCAGATTTCAAGGAATTCATCAGAGGGTATTTGCCTTCCCCACAGAACGTGCCGAGGAAGTCATCCAGGTCAATAGCCCAAACCATGGCACCTCCAAACTTGTTCTCCAGCAGCCACTTAGCCTGTGAAGGACAATCATGCAAGACAAAGTTGTAACAGATGGTGTAAAGGTTTTTAGGTGTCTTAGGCATCCTCTGCATTCCTTCATGCTGCATGTACACCTAATCTGAAGACTTTGCAGTCATTGTGACCATGAGTGGTCCCTATTATATCAGCAGGACTAAAAGCCCTCAAGCAGTCAGTGAGGCAAGAGGCAGCACAAGACCTGAACTGAAGCCTCCTGTGGGCTCTGCTTGACTTCTTTTGTCTTTGGATGAGGTTCAGAGTGAACTAGAGCAATACATGTTCTATGTGAATGGTGCACTTTACCCCAATACATTATTGATGTACAGTGAATGCTGCACCTAAAAACACAAAGAGGATATAGAAAATGGTTCACCTTGATGGCAAAGCTCTTCGGGTTGTCATAGCCGATCCACTGATTTCCTTTGTAGGAATACGGGGTCTCCTGAGGAGCGTTCCACACTGTGGTAGCCCCACTTTTCAGGAACTGGCAGACCTGGGACATAAAAAGTGCTTGTTAAGACATCTCAGGGAAGTCAAGCTGATCTGGCGTCCTGTAGCTATCCTGGTTGCACACCATGGGGGATTGCCAGGCCCCTGTGAAAATGGTTTGAACTCCTCAGAATGAAAACCCCGCAGGGTAGCTAGGTTTTGGCTCTGGTTTCCAGTGCTCAAGCAGGTTGTAAAACATCCTTGTGCCATTCTTTCTGGGCATCTCTACCTCTTAGAACTATTTTAGAAGCAGACTTTCAGAGAGCTTTACCTCAAAGTAGGCTAGGGTCCCGGCTGACTGGGTGTATTCTCCTGCTGCACCTGGGCCAGATGTCGGAGCTGCCAGGCCATGGTTAGAGGGGTTGCTGAGTGTGAAGGTGCGGGCATAAGCTCCAAATCCAACCATCAGCTTCTCAGCGGGAGCACCGTGGTCCTTCCAGTAATTCATGGAGTAGTTCTAGAGGAGACAGCATTGTGAGCCAGCCAGGGAGCTGGATAGAGTCCGAGCATCCCAGCCACCACATCCCTGCCCCAGTGGCATGAAGTGATGGCACAATGCCTATGCTACTCACCACATTGAAGTAAATGTATGAGCCCTGGTCAGCAGGACCTGCATAGAGAGGGCTGTTCTCCCCTGTGAAGCCTTCCCAGGAGCCCCTCAGGTCGTAGGTCATCACATTGATCAGGTCCATGTACCTTTGAGGAAAACCAAGTGACCATGGGTCTCAATCTAGGGGTTTCGTTTTCCATCCATTTACCCAACACATGGACTTCAGCATCCATCTGATGTGCTCAACCATCCCTCATGGTGTCAAGGCTCCCAAGCAGCTGTATGGCTGTCTAACACTTCAGAGCAACGCAAAATGTGTGGCAGGATCAGAAGGGTCAGACATGTCCCTGGCATAATTTTGTGAAGCCAACAGGCTTTTGCCAAGGGGGAAAGCTGGCACAGAATTGGGCATAAAGTGACTGAGCCTGGTGTGGTTTTGTGATGTGTATCTAAACAACCCAAAACGTGTACAAAGACCCGTGATCTACCATGTATTGGAGAACAGGAACGTTTTGCTGTTTTGCTTTAGAGGTGAAAAGTGACCATTTTTTGCATGCTGCAAAGGCGGAGAGATTTGCAAATGAGATAATGTCAAAGGGTTGAAGTGAAGGTGTGAAATTTTGGATGACCAATTCTAGCCCATGCGACCTATTCCTATCCTCCATTTAAATGATGTGTAGAATCTTTCCATTAATTAACCCAATTTACTGCTACTGTCTTCAGTCCGCAAGAGCTGGCTGGGACTCCCTGCCTGAAGCTGTATAATAGTTGCAAAACTTTAATTATCTGTTTCGAGTGTCTCCTCTCCCGTGCTTTTTGCTGCCTTCTTTTCTTTTCTTTGGTTCCCACTGGGTTTAGAAACTTACTGACACACTTACTTGGACATCTGAGGGATCTGATAGGCAGTTTCAATGGTGCCCACACCAGCAGACACTGCGGCAGAGATCAGCAGCCTGGGTTTGTTGCTCTTTGTAGCCTCCGCCTCGAAAGCTTCATACATTTCCTGGAATACACAACACGTCGGTCTTGGCTCTCAGTTCGGAGCAGAGGCCAACGGTCACCAGATTTCACACTCCAAGGGCCGTGATAAAGAGCGGAAACATTTTGAAGGAAAAACATTAACCAACCCATTAAATATTTGTCCTACCAGTGGATATATTTGGATACGTGTTCTGCTTTCCAAAATATTGCCCAAGACACTGATTATCACAGTTTGAATACCTGACCTGCTCTCTGAGTGACTTGAAAGGACCAATGCTCTCTAACATGGGACCATGTCTCAAACTGAAGCACCCGTGAAGGAAAAATAAAATAGAAAGATTTTAATAAACTGCATTGCTTTTAAATCTCGTTTTTTTAGGATTCAGTATTTCCAGTGTAATTTAGTATGAGAAATACATTTTTAATGGTAGGACAGGGTCAGGTTTGAATGATATAAAGTGAGCAATATCCTTCATACTGCAAAATACATTTCTGGCACTATAACAATGCCTGTAAGAGGGCAGTATCTTTGCAGATAGGCTACATAACAAACTCTATGTGCATCTCTTTACTTTAGTGTCATAGGTTATATGAGCTACTGTATCTCTTGCTAGCTATGATGGCCTGGTCACCGGGATGAAAGCTTAATGATAAAAAAGGCTGACCTGCATCAAGACAGTGAAGAGCTGTTGAGTATCAGCGGGGCTGCCTCTGTTACCAGGATATTCCCAGTCAATGTCGAGACCATCAAAGCCATACTTGCGAAGGAAAGTGATGGCAGACTGGATGAAGGTCTGCCGGTTCTGAGCAGTGGAAACCATGGTGGAAAACCTATAAGTGACCAAAATGGAGATAAATGGTGACTGTTGAACCTCTGAAATGGCCACAAAGTATGATGTAGTGTGTCTCTAAATGTGTTATGAGCTCCAATAGCTGGTCCATACAGAGGAAACCAAGCTACTCATTGTATCTGTCTTATAAAGGTCCTATAACTCTAGCGGCCGAGGTCAGTAATGAAAATCCCAAATTCAAAGCCCGCTAGTGAAGCATATTAAGTGGTTAGGGGCTTCAGATCAGTTGACAAAGAATGAGTGAAGAGCTTAATGTTGAGGGCTTTCCAACAACTTTTCCTTAATCCTTTTCCTGCCCACTACAGAAGGGATTGAGCATAGCAGAGCCCTGGTTGGACACAGAACCACTTTGCCATTTGGCTGTGCCTAGCACAGCGAGGTGTCTCGTTCTTTGTGCCCCTGCTCCCTGGACAACGCTGCTCCACGTTTTGGGGCAGGCATGTAGGAAGGTCTTGGCTAGCTGAATGGTTTGTGTCCAGCTACAGGCCAGGAAGTAGGAGTTAGCAGGAAAGAGGGAGACGAGAAAGAAGAACTTCAGACCGTCCATGGGAGCCTTACTGTTGGGTACCGAAATTCCAGCCTCCAACAGACAGCAGGGTTTTCAGGTCCGGATTGCTGCAGAGAAGTGATTTTGAAATGTCATTAAAAGAAGAAGAGTGAGCAAGCTCATCATAGTTGTTACTCGAAGTCGTTTGGACACAGTGGGATCATTTTTGCTCTTAGTGGCTTCCACTGAACCTCACTAAAATCAGTGTAATCGCACAGGGATATCTGAGAGCAGATTTCTAAGTTGTAGTTACCTTCCACTTCCTGTCCTAATCTCTTGGCCATTGTTGTGTCCAGTATTGAACGTTTGCCTCCTCAGTGCTGGGTGTAAGGTTATCTTTGCATGGCTTATGTAACAGATTAATCTAGTCTACAAAGCTCGGTGGGATAACCCAGCCCTTAACTACAATTGATGATCATCAGCATTGTCGACTGAGAAACTCATCAAGCAAAATGAGACTTACTAGCTCTTGAGTCCATTGATGCCAGCGTAGAGGGCCACATCGTTCCATTCGATGGTCTGGATCTGGTTGCTTTGCATGCCAGCAAAGGCATAGATAATGTGAGTACATAGGCATGGGTCAACATTTTCTGGCATGTAACGTGCAATTCCAGGCCGGTACTGGCACCAGTTGGTGAAGTAACACACAATGTTGGTGGATGAGGCTAGAATTGGGAAGGAGAAGATCACAGCAGCATGCCTTGATTATTAAACAACCAAGGAAGCAGGCTGGGCTATGTGACTTAAGCTCCTGTGATTCAAACATGAAACTACTATTAAAAAGACATCTGGACTTACCCAGCTGCAGCTGCAGCAGAACGGCCAGACCTGTCGAAGGAAAAGAGAAGCTCCATCATTCGTTGCTCAGCCATCAAGACCAGCTGTTTCTGCTCCTACCCCTGTTAGTTTGTTGGAAGCTCATCAGAGTCGAGCTGTGAGGAGCACTTGAAGCTTTTTGTGCTCTATCCCTGGGCTTGCTGCTCCGACAATAGACTGCCTACCCGTTTCTAGCTTCCTTTCCCACTGTTTGTGACATGACATTCCCATTTCCTTCCAGGCTCCCCACACATCAAACCTCCTGAATGCCAAACACTTCTGAGTGCATCTTGAGATCATGTATTACAACTCAAGCATGGCCTGAGTTCAGAGATGCGTCCAAATAGGCCTGGAGGGAAAGTTAAATGTAACTATAATCTATGATGTCTTCCCACCTCCTTGGGTAGCAGCAGTTGAATCTCTCCTTCGAATCCTTGGCACCGCCTGTCCCAGTATAAACACCTGTTTTTCAATATCTCCATTGCTCCTATTTAAACTTGTGTACCTGAAAGAAGTATTGGCCTCCTCGGACTTGCAGCTAAGTTCCAAAGTGTAATTCATTTCCACTATGCTCCAAACTCATCACGCTTCAGTTCGGGCTACTTTGTCTTAGGGAGCCTGAATTGAAGAAGTCTCATCTCTGTCGGTGGCACTAGCCGTTTGGTAAGCAAGGGCAAAAGTGGGTCCATAAACTCTGATGTGGTCCAATCATTCCCTAATACAGGACATATCCATAACTAAAACTGATGCTGCTCTGAATCTTATTAGATATGCTTCTCATTTTATTTATTCCATATAACCTGCAGTATGCTCCGGCTATTATCTGCTGGATCCACAATAACCCAGAGTTGCCATGAGCTGTGTAGGGCTTTTCTTTAATAAAAAGAATAAGAATTAAGAGCAATATTTTATTTCATAGGGTGCTACCTCCTCTTCAAATCCCTCCCATCCCTTGTTGAAAAACAATGTATGACCTTGAATAGTAGTGTGATGAGTACTTATATAGGTAAGTCGTTTGAGAGATGAAAATATCTAGGGAGATGGTGGGTGATGATATCTAGGGAAATATGAAATAGGGAGAGGAGATGATATAGGATGATAGATGGACAGAAAAGGCAGGAAAAGGCAGCTGTATCATGACAGGAAATATTCTACTTCTTTAGAGACCCAGGGGGAGAAGAAAATGAGGATCTGCTGCTCCCTGTACTTACCAGTCAGAAGCAGAAGCTTGCCCATTTTGGTGCCTGTGTACTGGCGCTATGCATCGCTTGCCTTGCTTTTATAGGGTAATCCTGCTCCTCCTCCGCTGCACATGTGACACCAGTGCACGTCTCCATCCTATACGTTAAACATAAAGTTAATCTGTAACTTCAGGTGGACTAAGCCAAAATAGGGACCTCATGCAGCCAGCTGTTTTCTGCTCTGAATACTATCTTTATTTTCTATCAGCCCGAATCAAGGCTGCTGGATAAGTGGGCTCTGATTGAAAGGGAAGCATTGGCTATTTCCCTCGTTGCCCCAGAAGAATATTTAATCCTTTCGCTGGAAATTTACGGGACATGCTATTATGTAAGGAAACCTTGATAACCACCAAAGGGTGTGGAACAGCATGGAGCTTGCCACTGTATTGCTAGGGGTGAGACTATTATGTAATGCAGGACAAAGTGTTGCCAGGAGCTCCACAAGCCTATTTTAAAAGAGGAGAAAGAATACAGCAGCCTGGTAATTTCCTAAATTTACAGTACACTGTGGGGTAGGGCTAGGATTCAGAGTGACCCACACAAATGAGAGGATTGGGCCAAAAGAAATCTCACAAGGTTCAACAAGTACAAGTGCAAAGTCCCCCATCTGCCTCATCTGAATATATTAGTGACCATGAAATCTTCAGATTAGGCAGTCATGGGGTGCTTCATATGGACCTGCATTTACTGAGCTCTGCATTACTACGTTAAGGATGACCCTTAGATCTTTCCAGCCATACCTCCCATAATAAATAGCAGCTGCTCTGTAGAGAGAGTGAACTTCACCCAGTTTATCCCTTTCCTAGGAAGCTGAGATTCAATAAGGACAAATTCAAAGTCTTGCACTTAGGACAGAATAATCCCATACACCAGGACAGGCTGGGGATCAAGTGGCTGGGCAACAGCTCTGCAGAAAAGGACCTGGGGGTGACAGTGGACAATAAGCTGAACATGAGCTAGCAATGTGCCCGTGTTGCTGGCATACTGGGCTGCATTAGTAGGAGCATTGCCAACAGATCAAAGGAAGTAATTATCCCCTTCTATTTTGCATCTGTAGTACTGTGTCCAGTTTTGGACCCCCCACTGCAGAAGGGATATGGAGAAGTTGGAAGAGAGTCCTGCAGAGGGCAATGAAAATGGTTTGGGGTTATTTGGTCTGCTTATTTAGTCTGCAGAAGAGAAGAATGGGGGCAGGGGTGGGGAATTTAATAGCAGCCTTTAACTACCTGAAGGGGGTGTTTAAAGAAGAATGGAGCTGGACTGATCTCAGCGGTGGCAGATGACCGAACAAGGAGCAATGGGCTCAAGTTGCAGCAAGGGAAGTTTAAGTCGGATATTAGGAAAAACTTTCTTGCTAGAAGGATGGTGAAGCACTGCAGTGGGTTTCCTAGGGAGGTGGTGACATCTCCATCCTTGGAAGTTGTTAAGGCCTAGCTCAACAAAGCGCTGGCTAGGATGATGTAGTTGGGGCTGGTCCTGCTTTGAGCAGGGGGTTGGACTAGATGTCACCTCCTGATGTCCTTTCTAACCCGATTCTATGACTATAAATTACATTTATGTCATCTAATCTGCTAAACTGGGGTGAGCACACAGTTGCGTAACTACACCTCAGTCCTGATGTAAGGCCTTCCCTGGTCAAGGTGATGGGTTCTTCTGAGCACTGACTGCCAGGCTTCATGGTTTGGGGAATCTGTGGAGGAATCTGTCTCAGGGAATGTGGTTCTTAAAGCAACTTGAGCACTCGCATGTTCCCTTTAAAAAGTATTCATACCTGGGGTTGGGAAAGCAAATGAGAACAAAGCTACACCAGTAATCTGAATAAGAGTGAATGCAAAGCTTGGCTTATTATTATGTCGTGGTGCAAGCTATCTGTATGTTCACCCTCCTGTACATGACACATGGTTCCCAAAAGCCATAAAACTTTTATGTTTTGTGAGGAGTATGGCCTGAGCTTGCAAGGCCTGAGCTGGTTTTGGGTACATACCTGGGCTAAGCTGTATCTCCCTTTGTTCTGCCCACTTTGCAGTGCCAGTGTAGCACAGCTGGGAGCAACAGGGCTAGAGAGCAGACACCACTCCTGCAATTCCCTGTAGCTCTCTCTTCCTGCCTTTCCACAGTCGTGCCTTTATTTGGGCCATGTGTTCTTAAAAGGAGCTGCCAAGCAGGAAAAAACTTCAGGCACAAGGCAACCATTTGGTGTCAAAGCCTTCAGTGCTTTGCAGTGATCATTACTATCACAAATCACCGTCACGAATCTGTCACACCCACCTATGGAATATTTGCATCATTTCAGCAAATGATGCGGGGACTGGCGTGGCATGGGCATGCAAAGGAAAGCATCTGAGTTTTCTATGACTAGATTACAGCAATGCCCCTTATTATTCAAACCTTTCTGGCAAAAGCATTGTCTTTGGATTCCAGTTCTACAAGACCAAGCTAAAAGTGGGTTTCTGTATTGCTTGTGAACTGTGCTCTGTCTAAAGTGGAACCATTCTCAGCGCTACAAGCATTGTTGTATTCCTCACTAGAGCTTTTCAGTGGAAGATTTCCTAGGGTAGTTGGTGGGGTGATTTATGTACGTGTCTGTAAGGAGGATTTTTGGTTGTAGTCGTGTTGGTCTAAGTACATAGGTAGGCAAGCTCCTTTGCGTAGATGTGATCTCTTTTATTAGACCTACTGAGTAGTTGGAACAAATTTCTTTGCAAGCTTTTGGGCACAAGTCTATGAGGAATTGCTCTAGTCCTCCTAATCCTGTACGTTTCCTGTATACATAAAATGAAAACAACCCCCTTGACCAAGTTCACTGCCTTTCTTCCTCTAACCTTTCGTAGGAAGCTTGTGGTCCTTTGTTGGCAAGGGAAGGAGGGGGTAAGTTTGGAGCTACCTTTCACCCCTGGCTTACTTCAGGAGTTGATTGATCATTTTCCTGATTTTTATTCTCTCTCGGGAGGGGATGCTTGCAAATGTATTATGCAGCAGAAGCTAGTTGGTGAGTCAAGTTATGCAGGTCCATCTCTAACTAACTTCCGGACCAGCCGGCTCTGAGGTTCACCAGGGCCTGCAGAATCGGGGAGTAGTGCCCAGTACAGCTGACTCACTTCAGGAGGGCAGACTATGAGCACGTATAGCTTCACCCACTGTAAAAATGCACAGAAGTGCAGCCAGAACACTTACGATGATAACAGATTAAAATGGCTTCCACCCTGAAAGCTATTTAGGAAAAATGTGTTATCCTGTGGTGCACCACACACTTAGAAAGGCTCCACAATATGTAGAGGAACCAGACTAACTAGAGGCCAGCCAGGAAACCTGTTGTGTACCCCCTCCCTCTACCCCCCGGGGCCTAGGGCTTGAAGCGTACCAGGAGTGACAGTAAAGATGTGGGTGCCTAGTGGGTAGCATATGTAAGGCAAGGCAATTTGGACAACTGGTGGTGAGCTTACTTCTGTCAAGCTCACAAGTTGTGAGCCAGGGTGTGGGGATACAATGCAATATAAACTTCCCCTTAGAGGTGTCAGCCAGGATTCAGGCACTGGTTATACAGCTAGTGGACAGGGACAAAAAGACAGCACGTGCTTGATTTGAACCTTTGTTTTCCTCCCAAAAGAAATAGTGACATGCAGAGAACAAGGGATGTGCAATATCGTTACTAATGAATGCACAGTAATTACTGGTAATAGATGGACACGAGCTGTGAAGAACAGATGACTAACCAGACCAGGATCCAGATTCCCCCAGTTATTTCTTGGTGAGCAATGGCAAAGGGATTAAGCTGTCTCACTATGGATCCAAAGACATAAATCGGAGTCTTATTCTGGACTTGTCCTGATAGGTTCCCTGCATCCAGGCCAATATGAGCACAGTAATGACTCTGAATCTCATTGAAGTCAGAAATCCCAGCTCTTGGGCCAGTGCTCTATCCCTTAGCCCATATTGCCATTCATTAAGCACCCATCTCAGGAAGGGAAGCAGTTTCTCACTTTCATTTCAGCTCCTGAATCCACTCTTGCTTTGCAAACACTATTTGCAAAGCTGTTAGAAGAATGGCTGCCCGATCTGAGAGCTGGCTTTGAACCCTTGGGCAACTCAGTCACCCCAGTGCACCTCATCTGGGAATATTCAGTAAGAGAGAGAGAGACCATTTTCATGCAATGCACATTTATTTATCATACTCTTGACTACATTGTCGGTATCTATTGGGTGGCAGTGGGTCCAGTGGCTGTTGTGTTCATGCCCAGTTGCAGCAGGAGCAGCTGGTGTCGAAGACCAGGCCACTCCTCCTGGAAGCTCCTGCCCTTCACGCAGTGGTAGAAGCTGTTCTTATCGGTGGGATCTGGGTAGAGGCCACTGGCCTTGCCAGCACAGAAGTTGCTGTTGCCACCGCTTGGGCTGCCACCAGAGCTTGGTTTGCCACCAGAGGTGGTAGCAGGGGCAGGGGGGGCAGCTGTAGCTGGCTTGGCTGGCTGGTTAGCAGCAGTGCCAAGAGTGGTGGCTGGAACTTTGCAGTCTGGAAGAAGCAAATGCAAAGGACAGGGATTAAAATGTGCCGGTTTCTAAGCTCGAGGCAATGCTGAGAGGAGAGGGGTGGTGGACGGCAGGGCAGAAGGTGAACAGACTTGTTGGAGAAGTGATCTGTGCCGAAGAGAAAGATGTGCAAAGGTGCATGTGGCAAGTGTGTGGGCTGGGAGGGAGGTGTCATCATGGGCAGAACCAAGGAGCACCAAATAAGATACGAGGGCAGTAAGAGCAGTGCTGCAACGAACCATAAAGGTGCAGATAAGCTAGAACATGATGCAGCAGAGAAGGGAAAGATAGGTGAGGGGCTTGGGAAAAAGACTGATATCATCCGAATGATAAGCTAGGAAAAGGCCCACGGGCTGAAGCCTTTTGAGTTGGCCGGAGGGGCCTGGTGAGTGTGAGACTGGCCGAGGAGGAGGAGGCTGCGGCAGCTGAAGCAGAAGAGGTGGGTCAGGACGAGCTGAGGGCTGCCGGGCA